ACAACAGTGACACAAAACTCATGGCTGTGCTTTGAGCAGGAGTATTCAAATGAATTCAATGTCCATTCCCTTCCAACACTCACAATATACAGTTGTGCCCGCAGTCTCTCAGGTGCTACAGATCTCACACTACTCAATTACTGTCTAACTACAACATAAACTGACGTTTCATGTCAACTGTTTCTGACACTAGACTGCAGACAGACGGAAGAGAATGAATGAATTTCCGGTCTGCACTGTGTTGTATCATAAATATACTACTGCCAGAGCTACAGATAACTTTTTGGGTCATTGAGTTATATACTCACTTGTGTTCATGTCAATTGGGTATCCTAATTTTCCTTTGAGTAACCAAATAAATTGTACCCTCCTCACTCAAACTAAATTGGGTATTTTGCCATTTTCCATTAATTGTAAATACATAATAAAATTTAAATGTTGGTTTACATGTTTGTTCTTTATATTTGATCTGTAATATGAGAAACGATAAGAAAGACTGCAAGTTGCCAAGTTCATGTGCTGAAATAGAACCTCTCAATATACCTCAGTTAGTTTATCTATTTTTGTGTGTATGCATGTAAGATCAAATGTATTGAGTATTTACAAAATTTCAAGCGTAGTTGTACACAATAGACCCAATAGGAATTAGGGCTGGGACGATTCACCGATGCATCGCGATACATTTAAGTTTTACAGCTATCGTATCGTGGACTGGTGTATCGATACAAAACGATACACAACTTTTTTCAAAACAGTATTATCTTAAACATGTTACAGTACTTATTTAGAGAAAAATATGCAAGTATGATGGAGTTACTTGTATATTCATTGCAATAGTGTTATTGTTAAACACAAATACCTTGAAATAAATCATTTTAAATCTTGATACTGTGTCATTCTTTCAAGGTGTATGTATCGTGATATGTATCGTATTGCAGGTCAAATATCGCAGATATGTATCGTATCGTGACATAGTGTATCGTCCCAGCCCTAATAGGAATTGAGTTTTCACATAAATATTTGCGTAATTTACGAAGATACGCAGCTTATCTGTACCTCTGTACTTCCCTATGGACTGGGGTGTCAGTATCTCTCCATGGTACACAAAACTGATTCTTGTAATACTACAAGTGTATATTTAAATGGAACGATATATCTAACAAACCTTGTCAGAACCTGAAAAGTGTATTTCAAAAGAAGTAAATTTGTATAATGTATTCTGTCTCATTTTGTAAGACCTATACAATTTTAATCATAAAGTTCTCAACATCAACACAGCAACAATTCCAACTCAGAATAATAATCTAACAACAAACTCTTATTGTTTAAAAAACTACCAATAACAGGCAACTGAGAAGCTGTTCACAACCAAGTCTTTTGGGGGTCGTTTTGCTGAATATTTGTTATATTCTGCCAGTCACCCAGTGTTCACGAGTGGTGTTTCAAAGTAACAGGACATTGGGTCCTGTAGTTTCAGATGTCTGTCTGACCCATTGAAAATGCACAGGACCCATGGAATAAAATTAAACACACATTTCAGATTTAATATTTCTTATAATTGACACTGAAATTATTAACAAAGATTTATAAACAGCAAACAAGTGTCTCGTGTCACATAAAACAACTTCAGTCAAAGTCATTGTGAAATATACAGTCAGACACTGGGGCCGGCGGGTTGTACACTTCTGTCTGACCGTTTGCGAATCTGCTGCATTTGACAGAGGGTCAGACGCTATTCGTGAACACTGGTCACCCACTACCTTTGGTCACCCACTACCTTTGTAGGTAAGTATGGAAATGACAACCACACAAGCTAACATCAATAGTCATGTACAGCATCATCCACTATCAACCAGTGTATTATGATGAACAGCCACTTGGGTCAGGTATTGATCATAACAGAATGCCAATATAATACCCTACATAAAGTGGGACGAAGGTTGTCATGCAATGAAAGGCATCGATTTATCAGATGGATACTGCACATGTACAACTGACCAGGATGGAAATGTAATTTGCATCATTGTAAGATCGTTTTACTTCGAAATATGTCAAGTATATCTGAAAATGCATGATGCACAGAGTGTGAGTCATATCAATGGATATCACCTTAATTGAAACAGGATATAGTGTGGTGAAACCCAAGTGGATATGTAAAATCCTGAAATACCACAGACCCTCTTTTGGACAAAACTGGAATTTGACAACTGGATCCTGGAATGGCTAAGGGAATTAACTCTGCAGAGCAAATAGTGACCCTCAGCTGTGTTGTTTCAAATTGATAAGCCAATTTAGAGATACCCTATATATCTACACATGAATACTTTAGCCGATGCTGTATGACATAACACTGACAATCTGTGAAAAATCAGTTGAGCACATTTCCTAAACATTCACACAACAATATTTCCAAAAATATTTTTTCTTTAGTTATGTACAATAATTACATATGAACATCATACATAAGTAAATACCAAGGAAATCTACATCAGTTATCAACAAACCTGCCATTTTAATTCATCTGTAGCCAGGTGTGTGTGTGTGTGTGTGTGTGTGTGTTTGTGTGCATGCCTGTGATTGTGTGTGTTGTGCCCATGTGAGTGTGTATGTGATATTGTTCATATATTGTGTGAGATGATGTGAGATATTGTGTTTGACTGTATGTGTGTGCATGAGCCATTTTGAACAGTTAAACCATTGGTGTCCGCTTAAAGTTAAGTGCTGACCATCACAAGAGGGACAAATTTTGAAACCATCACCACCAGATCCTGCTCTGGCCAAGGGACACAACTCAAAATGGATGCAGTACAAAGACACATGACACTTATGTAAGTGTGCATTGAGTCCATAGTAAGTTACAAATATCACACTCAGCTTGTACAGAAACAGCTGTTCACTTGCTTCATCAATGGCAGACAGGCAAGCAACAATGATCACCCAATGAAAGGTAATAACTGGTTAGGAAAAAATTAATATTCAACATCCATATATTGAGTTTAATACTATCTGAACAGTATATAATAAAAGTACATGTATACTGAAAGATGGGACTTTTCAGAAAGTGTCAATAAATGTAGACTGTTCAATAAAGTAACATTCTTAAAACGATAAACCTCTATTATACACAATTCACAACAGATACAGGCGTGATTATGTTGCCATAGCAACAATGTTCAGGTATTCAATATGAGTGTATATTTCCACTGCAGGGTACAGTGTATGGATATAAATCATTATGATAAGTCGTCAGTATTAAACAGTGAAACCTCATTAATATGGGGACAGTGGGTTGCCTAGAGGTTAAAGTGTTTGCTCTTCATGACAAAGACTGAGTTCGACTCTCCACATGGGTACAATGTGTGAAGCCCATTTCTGGTGTACCCCATCGTGATGTTGCTGGAATATTGCTATTGCAGCGTAAAACTAAACTCACTCATTAATACAGACAGTGTTTTCCCTTTTAAATGGCTTGGATGAAGTTGTTTATTAATCAACAAATCACAGGTATGCTGTAACAGTCTATGACTTGGACTAGTCCAAACCCAAAGTCTAACAACTTTGTTTTGATAACACTAAGAAAGACCACCAACATCTTTTGTTTTAATGACAATCTACTGAAAATTATGCCAAGAAATATTTTGGGCTAGTAGCCTACTAGTAGGTGAGGTGAAATTGTTGTTTAACGTCGTGCTTGAGAATATTTCACTCATACGACAGCCAAGTGTACTAGCCAAGACTGAAGCTGGTTTTATAGTGCTAGCCCACTGAGATACCATGCCGCAGTGAAGCATGAATACCCCACTCAGACACATTATACTGACTCAGAGCCGACCAGTCCTTGCTGTACCCGTTAATGCCGAGCGCCAGGTTGGGACCAACAAGTACCATATTTTAACATCTTTTGGTATGACGCAGTCGGGGATCGAACCCGCGACCTTCCGCTCTCGGGTGGACGCTCTAACCACTACACCACAGAGGCGGCGCTCGGGCTAGTAGGCATTGTTGAAGGTTTTACATAATCTTGTAGTGACATGTGTTTATTGGTGCATTGCTGTTCCACTGCCTCTGTGGTCTAGTGGATTGAGTGTCTGACTTCAGGAAGGAAGGGTGTAGGTTTGATCCCCAGCCACATTTCAAACCACATCAGACTAACTGACTGACTGAGTTTGGTTTTACGCCGCTTTAGCAATATTCCAGCAACATTACGGCCGGGGACACCAGAAATGGGCTTAACACATTGTACCTATGTGGGGATTCAAACCCAGGTCTTCGGCGTGACGAGACAACGCTTTAACCATTAGGCTACCCCACCGCCCCCAAACCACATCAGAAGATGACAGTGAATGAGTAAGTTTTTACGTTGTGTTTAGCAATATTCCAGTTATATCATGGAAGGGGACACCAGAAATGGGCTTCACACATTGTACCCATATGGGGAATCGAACCTGGGTCTTTCGGCGTAACGAGCAAATTCTTTAACCACTGGGCTACCCACCATCAAGGAGTGATTACCTGGGAGGCAGAATACCTGGATTACAGTGTCTGAGTTGACGAGGTTTCACTGTATAGAAGGTTCCAGGACATACAATACTGAGTGTGTTATGACTCTTCTTGATGTTCACATGGACAAGAGCACCTTGTGGTTTTTAAGTAGGACTGAAATTAATCGCACTAACTTTCCCGACCCTCACAGCATGATGTCAATATTTCATGGGTTTCTTTACACTACATTTCTCCATCATCTGTGAATTAGTACGGATGCTTTGCATGTAACTAAACAAGCGATGGCCTGATCGTATGAGAGGGAACTTGATTGTGGTCAAACCTATGATCTACCAGCAGTGTATGAAATAAGGCCAGTCCGACCATCCGAGACAGCCTAGAGTTCTGACGGATGGTCTGGTAATTTTTTTAGATGTTCCATACATCTGAGTAAATTCACCATATTTGGTCTGGTTAAATCCATTTTGGGCTGGTAACATTTTAAAGTTACCAGCCCTGATGTCTGGCTGGATTTTTGGCTTATTTCATGCACTGTTGTCAGTTAATATAGCAATATTAAAGGCAATGTGTCTGTCAACATTGTGAAAACATATACTTCATGCTCTTCCCATTGCTTGAATGTCAGCAGTGGTTGGGTTTTCACAAAGTTCATACATGGAGTGGAACTAACTTTACTTTGATGAGTTATTAATGCTCCCCATGGCATTACCCCAATACTGGATACTGACGTATCTGTTCACAGTTGATGGAGGCGTTTACAACCCATGAGGAGGTGACGATGAATGATGCAGGGTCATGCTTGATCTGTATGGCAGGAGGTGTTCAAGGCTCACGCTAGCTTCAGCACCTGGTACACATTGTTCATGTAGACTCGTTTGAAGTAGGGCTCGGGGCGGTCTCGGACGATCTCACAGTATGGTGTCTTTCCTCGATTCTCAATATCTTCTGTATCCCAGATCTCAGGCATAGAGCATCCCTCCCTGAAAAAATAGGACAGTGAGTCTGGTAACTGAATCTGAGCAAAATTTAAAGTTTTACAACATACAACATAAGACGAGGACCAACAGTTAGTTGAAAGCCCTTGGACAGTAATCAGTGGTTCCACTACAACACTTTAACTGTCCCACCATGACAGGATAAGTGGATGGACTCACTTAGTTCTCCGGACACACCATGAGTTTTCATAGATGATATAATCCACTTCCAGTTCCTTGAGGCCCTTTACCACCACATCTCCTGACTTCCTGCTGAAAATACTGTACACCACCTTCGTCCTTTCCCTGCAATACACATGTACAGTTTCAGGTCAACACACTTCACATGTACAGCTTCAGGTCAACACACTTCACATGTACAGCTTCAGGTCAACACACTTCACATGTACAGCTTCAGGTCAACACACTTCACATGTACAGTTTCAGGTCAACACACTTCACATGTACAGTTTCAGGTCAACACACTTCACATGTACAGTTTCAGGTCAACACACTTCACATGTACAGTTTCAGGTCAACACACTTCACATGTACAGCTTCAGGTCAACACACTTCACATGTACAGCTTCAGGTCAACACACTTAAGATATACAGTTTCAGGTCAACACACTTCACACGTACAGCTTCAGGTCAACACACTTCACATGTACAGCTTCAGGTCAACATGCTTCACACGTACAGTTTCATGTTGATGTGGATTTGTAGCAATCAAGCAAGCCATCACATGCATAAATGACCTTTATAGAGGGTTTAATGATCTGAAACAATTGATCATCAGGAACTGAATCACTGAAACAACGTCCCATGATCGAACACCTACCTCAGACCTGCATCTTCATAATGGGGGTGGTTGACTATAGGTCGATGGGTGCACAGCTTAATCGTGGCCATTGTCGGCATTGGACCAGCAAATACAGCATCTGAAAGGACAGAAGTACCATGAGGCCTGGAACCTTTAACTTTCCTTAAAGCAATATTCCAGCAATATCATGGCTGAGGACACCAGAAATAGGCTTCACACATTGTACCCATGCGGGAAATCAAACCTGGGTCTTTGCTGTGACGAGTGAATGCTCTAACCACTAGGTTACCCCACCGCCCCTTGCCTTGTTGCTGGGTACCTACTCAAACCTCGTATCCCTTACAACCTAAGCTGCCTGGCACGTAGTCTTATATGGAATCCACACTGGGCCAAATCTGAATGCCAATGTACTTGTAACATGTATCAGATCAGTTAATAGTAGTGTATAAAAAAAACTCAACTCAAATGAAAATAATTGTTTGAGCTGGTAAAGTTGGAAGTTTTGGGTTGTTTTTGACTGCTGTACCGGGATTTTCCGGAAAGCCGCCCAGGGCTGTAAAATGGAAATTTGGGGAAAAGTTTTGGGGAAAAATGGACCATATAACCGCCCGGGTGATAATTCAGAAATAAAATAATTCAATAGTCGGGAACTAAAATCAAGTTTCATCCCGATTAGATATCGTGTAGATGCACGCAAAATGTTGCCAAAATGAAATCTTCGCAATTCAACATGCAGTAGTCATAGCAAAGTAACGATGTTTCGAGGAAATCATTAAATAAATTGAATAAACTAATGAATAAAATCAACAACAGCATTCATGAAAGTTGTCAAACGTACATATAAAGTTACTATTTCCATCTTTTTGTGCGATAATGTAAGTCAAGTCACTGACATCTCGGCTCTCGCCGCCTCAATCTTCACGCTAGGACACAATGTTTAATGCGAAAATATATGCATGAAGCATTTTGGTCACAGGTCATAACCTAGCACGATACGTCCAATAAGTTCCATAATTTACGTATAGGTAGCGATTTCTTGCTCAATATGTTCAGAATAGCATGATTTTACCCAAAACTTCCGTCTAAATCTAAAAGTTTTCGTTTACGAGGACGGTATCCATTGCCGTAATATGATTGGCTGCCTTAGGTCACGTGTCTCATTTTGACCAATCACGACCCTTATAGCAGACTGTGGCGAAAAAGCGTCATTAGAAACCAATATTTATCCAATAAAATGGCTTCTTACAACTGTGAAAATATTCTCGACAAGGGTACAGTGACATTGTTGATGTTCAGAGCTTTCGAACGATACCCGACATCAAACGATTCGCCTCGCATGTTATTCATACGAAGCTTCAAAAATGGGGGTATTTTCCGTTGTTGTGTCATGTTACCGAGCGGAAAGCTACTGATATCGGGAAATAGGCGACCATACATATTATTTAAAAAATCTTTTTATAATAATTTTCTGATAACGTAAAAATGAAAATATAAAGGAAAAAGGCACGGGCATGTTACGACATGTCACAAATGGAAAAGAATCGCCATAGCATTTGCTTCTTTCGTTTTTTATCTGGACATTATAAATGTAAGCTTGCATTTTCACATAAATAACGAAGTTTACTGTGAATTTTATTTCTAAATAGCAGTAATGAAAAAAGAAGTTTTAACCCCAAATAATTGCCCACCTAAAATAAGCGCCAATGGGCGATTTATTGAGTGGGCGTCTTTCCGTAAAATCCCGGTAATAGGAAAGGAGGCCTACTTTTAGGTGTATTGTCGTTGATCCAGTCGACCAGGTCCTCCATGGGGTAGTTGCTGAACTCTCCCATGATGCTCCACTGCTGCTGCAGGTTCTGTATCCCTGTATACGCCATCCCCGCCAACACTACCGCCAGCACTGCGAAGTGGGCCTCGTTACGGCCGCACCAGCCGAAGTACTACAACATTCAGCCAGAGCATGAGTACATTGTTCAAGTCACGTGGGTGTATGAGTTTGTTTGGTAACGCACTCAACAATATTTCAAATAAATGACAGCTGCCTGTATATAACAAAGTCTGGACCAGACAATCTAATGATCAATGCTGTCGGGTTACGATGGCAGGTATCAACTCATTCATTTAATTTATTTATAATTTATAATTAGTCCATTTATATTGTGTAAATCCACACTGACAGCGTGCTCATAGCGCAGACAATTATTACCCCAGATAACCCAAGCTGCCTGTGAGGCGTTAGAAGGTAAAAAATAGTCACATGACTTATCTGGCCAGGTACTCATTTCCTTCTGAGTGAACAAAGGCAATTTTGAGCAAACTCACTTGCATAAGGTGAGACCACATGCATCACATGTGCTTTGATGTGGGGCAGGACTGAAGTCCTAGAAACTCTCAGAGTCGAACTGCCAAACATGGTCACCCATGCAAGGACTCTCCGTGCCCAACGTTGCTTAACATCAGCTGATTTGTGACGTGAGCTCTATGCACAGGACCCCACACGACCATTTGGTCACCTTTTGTGACGAGCATAGGTTGTCTTTCAGTGGCATTTAGAAGTTGTACATTGATGTCCAAGATATTTTTATGGATTAAACTTCTTTTTAATTTCTCTCACGACGTTTCGAGACCATTCCAGGTCCCTTCATCAGGTGAACTGGCAGTTAGGACTATGACTATGACTAAGCATAGGTTGCTTTGGACCATGTGTACAGAAATGGTCTTCTTACACTGGGGAATCCTAACATAGTCTCAGCACAATGAGTGACTGCTTTAACCATAAGGTTACCCCAGCCCCTCCTTGATGAGGGTGAGAGAGTATTGTGTGGGTGGCAGGAACAATATACAAAGCTTCTCACCTTCCTGGAGGCTAGCAGTGACGTGAGGAGACACAGGTGCGGTGTCCAGAACAGCTTCAGCCTCATGATCATGATGGCCATCGTCGCGAAGGAAACTTGTTGAAACAAGTGATACACCAGCTGGAACATGGACGCAAACATCACAGATGATAAACTATCAGTCGTTTAATGATGCACTCAACAATATTCCTGTTATACTACATCAACCTGTTATACTACATCAACCTGTCTCCCTGACCGCGTCATACCAAAAGACGCTACAATATGGTACTAGTTGGTCCCTGTCTGGCGCTCGGCATTAATGGGTACAACAAGGACTGGTCGGCTCGGAGTCAGTATAATATGTCTGAGTGGGGTATTCATGCTTCACTGCGGCATGGTATCTCAGTGAGCTAGCACTATCAAGCCAGCTTCAGTCTGGGATAGTACAAGCAGCCACACATACACATACACACACATGCACGTCGTCATATGAGTGAAATATTCTCAAGCACGACGTTAAACCCAATTTCATCTCACCTTACAACCTGTTAATAACTAAGTACTGACTAGACAATCCAGTGATTGATATGGTGAACAATGGTCAACACTGTCAGGTATATAGACACACTGAACCAAATCAACAAGCCTGGACAACAGGATCCCCTACAATGATCGTAACTCCTATCTAACACAGACTTAGATGGTCATAGGGCTAAGATCGCTCTGTGCAAGTGCGCATTGATCCACATAGTTGTCCCTTGTGAGCAACACTGACTGCTAACATGACTCCCATACTCTAACATTGACTTAAAATGGAAGTTGTGCTAAGATTGCTTTGTGCAAGCAGAATATCATCCATATATACTACTCACACTTTGCTAAGGATCACAAAAATTCCCAACTTTACTTAAACATAGATTTAGGATTTGAAATTGTATCCATTTGAAACTGGATAAATAGTAATATGGTAACCCTAGTTAAGGCAAACAGCCACTTAATCTGACCGTAGGCACTTAATACATGAGTAACCATAAAAATGGTTTTCATGGCACCAATCAACCATTCACACATTGTGCCCATGTGGGGATTCGAACCCGGGTCGTCAGCATGACGAGCCGACGCTTTAACCATTAGGCTACCCCACCGCCCCGCCTGTGTCAAGAGATAGGGGACACAAACATTGCTTTCTTACAACCTTCTCTGCAATGTGCAAGATGTATTAACCTTGACAGGTCTGTTAACCTTACCTCAGCATCAGGTCTGTTCCTTCTGAAATAAGAAAAAAATTCACAACTTTAGTTTCATCACAGTAATCCATTTGAGTTTAGTTCCTCACAAATAGAACTTTTGCTTGTCATGGTCTAAAGAGCAAGGCAGCCAAGTTCCACACTGATACCTACCCCTGACTCTCTGCTGTGTTGGAGGCATGTACCGCAGAGCCATTAGCAACCACTGGACTCTTCCACTGAGAGTATTCAGATCTCAATATCTGCAACAAATCAAATATAGACTAGGACCGATTGTGGATGAAAGTAATGCAAGAGGCATTTTTTTGTAGTATTTGGTATCCAGGCTATTTTACCTATTTAAAGGGTGCTGATCATGAAAAAATAGGATACCAAGCTGAAAAAAGTGTTTTTGACCCTCAAAATTGAAAAACAAAATGGCCGCCAAAATCGCCTAAAATAGTGGTAGGTGTACACAGTATTTTCACCTGTGACTGTATCTCTATTTTGTACATTTTGGAAACTTGACCTTTTATGACATTTAAAGAATTTTGATCATGAATAATTAGGATTGCAAGCTGAAAAATGTTTTTGGGACCTCAAATTTGACAAACAAAATTGCCACCATAGTCACCGCAAGTAGTGGTAGGTTTGCACGGTATGTCATCACCTGTGACTGTATATCTATTTTCTAATTTGTTTAAATCTGACCTTTTTAGACATTTAAAGGGTGCTGATCACGAAAAAATAGAATATCAACTGAAATAAATTGATTGTGAACCTTAAAATTGAAAGAACAAAATGCCTCAACATCTTTTATTTGAGCCTTTTTCCAGAATCGGGCCTGGTCTAAAACAGGCTGTGATTCTGGAGAAATGAGAAGCTGTGTGAGCTAGTGAGTAGGCTAACACCTCTTAGTCACCAACATATTGGAAGTTTAGTTTAACACAGCCTATATAACCAGTGGATGAGCTGGCCTTAGCACTACTAAGAAACAATTCACTGAATAAACAGCTTTGATCTATGCAACTGGGATACAATGATATGTATCAACTAGGGCTGCGCAATATAACCGGTTTACCGGTATTTACCGGTTCAGACATGAAAACGATATTGCGATACGCTGATCGAAAACCGGTATTTTGACATGCATTTGGAAAACTCCGTAACACTCGGAAATTTTTTGGATATTTTCGTTTTTTTAATTGTTCTTTTCCCTGTTTCATTAGTGCCAAATGTTAATTACATTTTTATTTTGTCATGATTAAAAGTTTGTATAAACGGTTAATCAATCATAGTGATTTTGTTGTGTTTTTGCTTATAATCAAGCATTAACTCGATTATAAGTAGTTTTTGTTAAAAAAATAATCCTTGCAATATATTGCAATACATATCGCAATATATGCTTCCGCATCGCAATATGCAATACCCACCCCTAGTATCAACCAAGTCAGTGAGCCTGACCACCCGATCCCGTTAGTCACCTCTTATGACAAGTATGTGTTACCGAACATCAATTCTAACCAAGATTTTCTTGGGTTGACATTGTAAACACTTGTGACTTGTATCTGGACGAGAAATACAGTGATTGATACTGTGAACAACCACTCACGTTGTCAGTGTACTATGATCCACCATCATCCAAGCCTGACATCCAATCTGTTTGGAAGCCTCTAAGCACTACTACAGGTTGCTTGGATCTATTCTAACATAGTATCTATACAAGGACAGCAAACACCAAGCTGATTGATACAGTGGTTGACTTACAAAGAACACAGCTGTGAGAAATACGATCAAGGCGCAAGGCAGAAGTAGGGTCCACGTGAGCTTCCATATTGTCTGAAACAGAGTGCAGCTTCAATTAAAACTTTGAGCCATGTTAGAAGGAGCGTAAACATTTGAACAAGACAGACACTACTTAGTAATGTAAGCAGTGTGCAAAATAGTTTCCCAATTTTGCAAGCCAGTCGGGCTAGCTATGCCAGAAAGTTACCAGCCCACAGAATAATTCACTTGTCTGAAATTTGAATGTAGACATGGGTTTCATTATAAAGCTGCTAATATGATATAATACTTTTTATAAGGCCATAATCTTGCATGATCTAAAAGTGTGTTATAACTTAACAAGTCGGAGAGAGTGATATATTTACAAAACGACCCCATGATTTTTCAAAAGCCAGTCGGACCAGTGACTGTTGAGACAAACTGGCCCGATTGGATATTTACTTGCCACAGGCTAGCGGGCCAGTGGCTATTTCGCACACAGGATGTAAGACGATTTCACAAAACTCAAGTCTTGAAAACTTGTGGACTAGTTAACATTAACAAATTTACTGATGGGAAAACATAGTTACAGTGTCATGTGACAATGTATACAATAGAGTGCTCAATGAAGTAATCTTCTGGAATTTGGAGTTCAGTGTAATAATATAAGCATAATATCTTTATAAGGTGAAACTGATCTTATTGATCTCTTAGTTGATGTGGACAGCTAAATTAGTATACTCACGATTTCTTCAATGAAATCAAACTCCTTGGAACAAGTATACAACATGGTGTGGAAGTTTTTAAAGTCAGAAAACTTGCTTCTGAAGATTTCCCCTATGTGGGCCTGGAAATAACAGACTTACAGTTAGGAAAAATATCACTTCCCCTCAGTGTCATGGACATACAAATGCAAACCTACAGTCACAAGTTATAATTCTATTTCGCTTTGAATGTTAAATCAAAGTGCTAAGTTTATTGACTACATGAACTGTTCACAAAAAAAGATAAACCTTATTTGCACTAAATGCTATACTACCTTTGATTTCAAGAACACAAAAGGAGATCTGAATTATCAAAAGCCTCTATAAAATGTTTTCTACCCATTCTCTACAATTTTGTATAAGACACTGGAATTTTACTTGATAAAATGCATGTTCAGTATGGCAAGTGAATTCCTGGCTCAGGACCAATGGCATGATATTATAACTGTTTAAATCACAAATGGAACACATCACAAGGTGATACAGTTACATACATCATCAGCAATGTTCAGCAGCTTCCCGACCACTATTTTACTACAGACTGTTCCGATTGCCAAGAGTATACTCTGCACAGCCTGAAACACAACATGGAAACCTCACAGACATTATGTAATAGAGTACTGACCTTGCTGAATGTTAACATAGGACTGAAGGAAATGCTTCCATGCACAGATCAGTTAATGCTCAAGTATCTGAGGACGAAACTGCTTGATTTATCTTTCTCATACCAGTGAATTTGTCAACATAATTTGCAAGCGAAAGGCCTTTGCAGGTATTGGTCCTATCGGAAACCGAACCAAACTGCTCGGACTGGCTGGCGTTAACTTAATAGATCCAAGGGACACTTATTCGAGGAGCACAGTGGTGTAGTGGTTAGCATGCTGGCCTCTCACGCCAAAGGCCCAGGTTCGAATCCTGGTGGAGACACCAAAATTTGTGACCTGGGTCTCATACTGTGTTGTGTCCCTGGGCAAGGCACCTTTTTTTCGTCCACATTGCACTCAGTCCACCCAGCTGTTCAAAAAGGGAACCTGGGAAACGGATGTACGGACCTATACGGTTGCGCGAAGTGCTTAGTAGTGGCTTTGAAATTGAAAGTACAATTCCATCAGGGTAATAATGTAACGCCAGAGAACAGCGTCGTGTTGGATTCTAGGCGCAAAAATTTCATTATTATTATTATTATTATTATTCTCATAGATGTTTGAAATAACTGTAGTATTCCACATTTAAGCAATACGACAGTGGCTGGTAAATGATCAAGTCTGGACCAGACAATCCATTGATAAGTATTATGAGAAACAATCAGGGTACACTGACTCAATCAAGTCATGGAGCCTGACCACCCATTCCACTGAGTTGCCTCTTATAACCAGCATTAGTTGCTGGGGTCCAGTTCTAATCTGAAATCCCCAAGGGCCATGACCCATCGAGCATGGCAATATTTATCATAAACCAGCATATGTGTTAACTTGTTTGAGTGGCATTTAGAAGTTGATGAAGAATGAGGAGAGTTCTATGGATATACAACTTCTTTAATATAATATGAGCGACGTTTCGGTGTAGCTACTAACACCGTTATCAAGCAAATGATGTACAATACTAGAAGCAAGGTATATATATATATATGTATATACATAGTAAAGTTGAACAGTAAGTGATTGATGTTTGTACAATTAATGAGGTTGATGTACAAGGTTGGAGGATGTTTACACGAGAAGGCAATTGTTACACAAACAGAGTAAGCTATGGGGGATTATTGGGAGGAAGCCAGTGATATGACAGACAGGAGAATAATGGGATTAAGATTGCTTGGTGATGAGTTGGTTGTAGGCAGTGGGGATGTAATATCCATGAACAGAGACCAAGGATAGTACATCCCCACATTACCTGGAAACACAGCATACGGAGCATTATCAGGTTGCTAGGGAACAGTTCTAACCCATTCTCCGCATGGGTTCCCCATTTGGTCACTTCTTACAACTAGCAAACGGGTGTGTACATACATTCCACATGGGTCTCCACAGGGTTGAACCTAAAAATACCATGTCTCTAATCAGCAAAACAGCATACTAAGGGACACAACTCTGCACAGAAAGCATGTAATGTGGAAGTATATCATTACAAATGTACCTGTATTAACATTACTTACCATAATGACGATTTTAAAATGTAGTTTATCTAGCACTGGACGAAGGAATAGAATGATCTGAAAGAAAGAAAACATATTTAATCCTGATTCTTAGAATTTCGCCATCATATATTCCATGAACGTTCTTTCCAAAGTTATCAAGGACATAATAGTAACATACATGATAAGATGATTGTATTCATCATGATGACAATATACACTTGTGTTTTCATACTGTATGTTATCTTACCTTCATGTAAAATACTTTAATTTCATTGGTCAATGACTGTTTAACAAGTTTCCGTGTCACCCTCCAAGCACTTTGCCGAGAAGCTGAAGCGCTAATAATCGTATGACGTTATAATATGACGCATGCCGTCCTCAGGAGTTCGAAAACCGTTCGATCAGCTGTTTTTGTCTTCACTTTGTACAGATTTATCTTAGCGACTTTCACTGCTTTATTTAAGCTATTTTATACATTGAGTGGTTTGCACAATCGGCTTATGCATAATTAATTTTTTTTTATAGCAGTTTTATGCTTGTCAGAATATGTTTCACTGATGTTAAAAATCCAGTCAAGAGGCAGACGCCATTTTGTTTCCATGTCATATAGTCGGCAGCGATCTTTAACATAAAATAAAATGATTTTTTTTGTACATTTAACATGGCGGTAAGATAAATATGTTGTATGCTTCTCCCTCGGGTAATACTGTCTGATGTACGCCTCTTTGTAGCAGTGTCATGAAAACCAACGCTCTGGAGAGCAAATGGTTAAAGTCCATGCACACGTCTAGGACAGGCTAGCATGAGTGATAGACCCTGTACTTGTATAGGACATACTCGTACATGAAGAAGGGTAGCATCTCCACTTGATGTGCACATCAAGAGATGGAACATTAGTATATATAAAAGTCCACACTAAATGTCAGGAGAAGTTTCGGAAGAAATCTGACAAGTTGTGGTTCCCCCCAGACTCGTCAGAGGAAGTTGAAAGAACAGAATCATCAGCAGTGCCGTCATAAGTTCCCATGGGGGGTAATACAGGACGTAAATCTACAGCCAGAGAATCAAGAAGTGGCCTGACCCACCACCGATTCCGACGGATTCTGCAAGCTTTTAGCATGAGTCAGGATAAGGAAAATTATGTAATTTTCTGACTAAGATTGATATTTTATACTTATCCTGACTCATGAGGTCAGCCCTCCCAAACTCCCCTCTTATGGCACTCTGGATTTCCCTGTAAATCCGGGTGTCGGGCATTCATACGGAGAGAGTGACAAGGCATGGTCGGTCAGGTGACCAAAGGGGCAAGGGAGGCAACTCCTGGGTGAGTAGTGATTTTACGTCTGCATTTTAGAAGGGAACTTCAAGGGATTTCAAGTGTTCCACTATCATTCGCAAGGAGAAGGAGACAAGCATTTAGCATTTAGCATGAATCAGGATAAGGATAAATAATAATTATTCATTCATTCATTTGAGTAGTACCTACCCACATAGAGATCAGACAGGATGCATAGAAGGATGTCAGCAGCATCTCATTGCCGAACAGCAGCAAGTAACTGATGGCCAGGCCCATCTGGAACAACAATATGTTAGGGAGGGATGGATGGAATGGAGTTTTATGTCCAGTTCTGCAATATTCCAGCCATTTCACAGAAGGGGACACTAGAACTTGGCATGATTAGCCAACGCTGACACTGCATGACTGAATTAGAGGTGAGGTGAAATTGAAAAGATCGAGTAGCTTTCCATTTATGTGAGGGGTGTGAATGAGAGTGGCACCATAAATAATTAAATACAATTTATGCCTGATAATTTAAGGCTATAAATATGTCTGAGTCTAAGGCTCTGCTGGACATTCACTTTGATTCACTTGTAAGCTCAGCTTACATAATGCCACTGAAAGTATACATACTGGTAGTCTATAATGTGACACTAAAATCTGAAAGAGATGCATCAGAGCCAGGTTTGGGCAAGCACACTAAATCCCTTTGATCTTCTTCAATTCACTATTACGTTCAGCTGATAACACCAGTAGTCCATGTGACTCTAACATCTGAAAAAAATGATTCACAGCCACGTTTGGGTAAGCAGACTAAAACCCCTTGGGCAGAGACTTGTTAATTGAAAATTTTAACTATAAATTGTATATTTATATACTTATCCTATCTCACGACTTGCACCTCTCTCTCTTCATTCGACCATGAGTGGAAACGAATTAAAACTTTGCTCAAGACCTACCTTGCCCCTCTCCCGTGCTGTGCATGCCTTCCTGTCTCAGTCGTGCTCACTAGTCCATGACAGCACGAGGCATGCGCAGTCCTCACCCACGTGATCACCTCACATACTCATTCTCGATCTTGGAGCCATAAAAGGACAAAACCGGAACGGTGGTAATCTATGTAGTGGGGAGGTAGGGAGGGACTTTATCGCGTGAGATAGGATAAGTATATAAATATACAATTTATAGTTAAAATTTTCAAATTTTTAAACTTATCCTATCTCACGACTTGCACTTATCCCACGGTAGGAAGGTGGGTCATAGATTACCCGGAATTCAAGCGATAACAGCTAGTGTTACGCCCAAACAACCGTAGGAAGCAACTGCAAGGTAGGGCAATAACTACCAAGTTACTACGTGCGAGGGTTAGGTCGAACCCATTGACTTATTAAGCACAATTGCTCCCAGGGACCGGGATTCCCGAGCAATGTGGTGTTCAGTCACTACCTTCACTAAGTGAAAGGACGTAGCTTAACGAGTGTAATCAGTCGCATCGCCACGATTTCCAAGGTACCCCCGTAATAAAAGTCAAACGACTAGTATCGGGCCAGCCCTGCTTGAAACAACCCCACAGACACCGTCCCGAGGAGGGTGAAAGAGAAATTGAATCGGTAAAACTCACAATTTTAACGTTCAGTACCACAACATCATCTTATGACTTCCATTACTTACCACAATAAGATCACATAGATGTGTATAGGCACTTAGGAGCATGAACGCTACGAAGTGTAACACTTCGGGAAGGACTCACTTCACTGACTTAATTACTCCGTGGAGCAGAGGACAGTAAGTGAGGTGGCGACTCTCTGTAGTCTCAAACAAATGAGAGGAGAAAATCTAAATCCCGGAAGAAATAAAGACGTAAATCAGAAAAAGTTTTTCAGATTTATTCAGATTGTACACAAGCAGAAACGATCGCGACTTGGGATCAACTGCACAGTGGGATCCATATAGCATCGGAGCACAAGAAAGTTCATTATCTGCGATGTTGTGCCGCTGATAACTGCTGGGCAAGGACGAGTGGTCCAAACTGATGAAGGCCTTGAATATCCGTCACCGACACATCTCTGAGGTAATGAGACGAAAATACCGTGTCAGATCGCCAAAAACACCCCTCCATTATGGCAGTTAACGAGCAGTTGCTATGCAACGCCATAGTAGAAGCCAAAGCCCTGGTTTCATGAGGGTTGACTGCCGTAGGTGGTGGCAAACCGGCAAAAGTGTAGGCTCGTAGTATTGTAGCTCGTAGCCAATATGAGAGTGTTGTGCGAGAAACTTCCGCCTTGGAAGCCGTAGACAAGGGTATAAATAGCCTCTTACGCAGACGGCGGCGCTCTTGCGATGCTTTAAGGTAAATGCGAAGTGCTCTGACTGGACAAAGAGACAGATCTTCAACATCTGCTGGACCCAATATGGTAGACAAAGGCGGGATTGTAAAAAGACGATCAGGTTGACCCGGCAACTGGTTTTTTGCAATAAAATCCCAGCGCAATCCCAACAATACCTTGCCATGTCTACTCTGTTCAAAACGGACACGGTTGATATCTAGAGCATGCAGTTCTGATATACGTGCCGCTGTGGCCAAGGCAATAAGAAAAAAGGTCTTGAATGAAACTTGTTCAAACTCCTTGTCCTGTAAGGGTTCATAATGCTCGGACACTAAGTGGTGCAGGACCACGGATAAGTCCCAAGCTGGTGGACGAAATTTCCTGGATTGGTCGGCTAGCTTAAAAGAACGAAGTAAGTACTGCAGTTCCGGTACCGTCGAAACCTTCGTACCAGAAGTCGTGGCTAGGACCGAATTAAGAGCCGCCAAGTAGGTGGCTAAAGTGGAACCCTTGAGTTTCCTTGTAGCCCGCAAATGTTGTAAATATTCCGCAACAACCTGGGGCGAAGCAGTAGTAGGGGAAGCGATCCCTCTGACCCGACAATAACATTCAAATTTCTTCCACTTATCGTCATACAAAGAACGGGTAGACGTACGATGAGCTGCAGTGATAGCTGAGGCCACTCTGTGAGAATAACCTTTGGCTATTAGTGATTTCTGCAAATGTGCCATACGTGAAGATTGAACGTCTGTGGTGACTCGTGATACACGCCCGAGTGCGGATGAACTAGTAGGTCGTCCCGCACGGGAAGAGGAATGCTGCTTCGACTGACTAGACTTTTTAGGCCGACGAACCAACTTCTCGCTGGCCAAAATGGCGCTACCAAAAGTAGTTGTACTTTGTTGGTTAACAGAATTTTCTGAATGACCTTGTGAAGTAGAGCCGGAGGTGGAAACGCATAAGCGTTGAGGCCTTCCCAAGGAATGGCCAGGGCGTCGTGATCCCAAGCTAGTGGATCTGGAATTGGAGATACGAATCTCGGCAGTTGGGAGTTGAACCGAGTGGCAAACAGATCGACACTCGGTCGAGAGATCGGGTAAATTATCGTCCGAAAAATCTTGGGCAGGAGTTGCCACTCTGTGGGCGACGGGCGACTGGAACGAGACAGAGCGTCGGCAATCACGTTCTTTGTTCCGGGAATGTGCCTGGCTCTTGCGACGATGTTGAGAGAATCTATCAGAAGATAGAAACGAAACGTCCACTGTAGGAGTGCTGCTGAGCCCGTCGACCCTAGGTGATTGATGTACCACACTACCGTCGAGTTGTCGGACTGTATCAGCAGGTGAGACATCTTGAGTAGAGCCGCCCAGTGCTGAATCGCCAGTAATACTGCCTTGAACTCCAGAATGTTTATGTGGAGTGACTTGTCTTCGGACGACCACTGCCCTGCCACTTGATGCTGAAGGAAGTGGGCGCCCCAACCTTCTAGAGAGGCGTCCACAAACAACTGATGGGTTGGACTGAATGGCACCAAAGAGACGCCGGCGCAAACATTCTGTACGTTGAGCCACCAACGTAGAATTGGACGTAGTTCCCTGGGTAACCGAATCAACACCTGAGGGTTGTTGGTTTGAAGATGAGGGCGCAGAAATAACTGAAGTGGGCGAAGCTGCAGTTGACCTCTGTAAGTCAGAGCCTGAGCTGACGTTAAGACGCCCAGCAACTCCTGCCACTGGCGTAGAGTTCTGGGGTGATCCAAGGCTAGCGGAACCAGACGCTGAATTTTGGTCCACCTGTCCTGGGGAACAAACAACTTGGCTTGTTCTGTGTCGAAGATTGCTCCTATGAACTGAAGTCTGCGAGTCGGTGTTAACTCCGACTTCTCGTAATTGAGGAGCCACCCTAACTGTTTGAGCAGCCTGATGGTGAACTCCCGATGGATTTGAAGAACGTTTGGATCCTGTTGTGCCTGAATACAATCGTCGATATAGCTTTCGAAAGTCACTCCCCGAGAATGTAGGAAACTGCTGATGGGTTTGGTCACCCGAGTAAAAAGCCACGGGGCCGTAGAGATTCCAAATGGAAGGACGTTCCATTGGTAGTGATGGCCCCCCGAAGGTGAACCTGAGATATTTCCGATGATCTGGGTGAATCGGAATGTGCAGGTATGCGTCTTGAAGATCTAGGGATATGAGGAAATCCCCTTTCTTCAGAATTGAGCGGAGAAGACTGACCGATACCATGCGAAAATGAGGTGGTTGTTGCAGGAATCGAGCGTTGAATGTCTTCATATTGAAGATGAGACGCAACTTGCTGGAGTTTTTCTTTGGCACCAGAAAAATCGGGGAGTAAAATCCTGGAGTTATGCACACCTGATCTAGGTGTTCTATTGCATGTTTCTCCAGTAGAGTTTGGATTGTAGTCGAAAGGACTGCAGCCCGATCCAGAGGATATATTTGCTGCAAGGGTTGAGTGGTGAGGGGTGGATCCCCGACCACAGGCAGTCGATAGCCGTGAATGAGAGTCATTGTGACAAAAGGATCTCCCAGAACCTCCCAGTTGGGAGCAAACAGACCTAACCTCCCTCCTACAGGGGAATCGAACACTGGAACCACCGGATCCGGCAGAACCAATCCGAGCTCTGACTTCCGTGAGTCACTGTTTGGACTGTCTATGTCCAGTTCCCGTGTCGGGTCGATAGGGGCGACGTGATGCGGAACCACGAAATGGCCTCCTGCCTCTGCCACGTGCTTGAGAAGGCGCCGTGCCTTTCATACAGTCCCGGAGGTCTGGGTTGGAAGGGGTAAATTGTGCGGTTCGGCGATGCCGAATAGAATCTTGGAGCTGAATTTTTTTGCAATTCCAAGAGATCAACAGATACTTGAAATTGGTTAAGACGGTCCACCTTGGATGCGATTTCAGCAATAGCCCCACTGAACACCGTATCCCCCGACCATGGTTGACGAAATAATTCAGCCTTGAATCTATCTTCCCATGAGGAGAAATTCAACGGACCCCGTCGCCGTATTGCAAGTAAATAGCCAAAAAAATGAGACAATTGCTCGAAGACCACCTGGAATTGGTCTAAAATCAGAGTCATACTACCCCTGATGTATGCGTCCTGGTCCGTATATGCATGGTTGACCGCCTCCGCAACAGCGTCAACAGCTGAAATAATGCAGCTAATGGCAGGGATAGCATGGCGAACCGTAGTATCTAAGTGAGCCAATTCCCTGTCTTCCACCAAATACGGCGAAATGGAACGCTTGCCACAGACCATGGAAATGTCATCATCGACTGAAGGTGCCGCTGACCAAAGTTTCACACCATGAGTATGTGCCGTGGATGGTCTGAACCTTGGAGCAGACAAACCATCCTTCGTCCTTCTAAGCTTGTTGAAAGCCGCGTCAAGAGAAGAAGGCAATTGTTGAAGACATGGGCGCAAAGGAAGTGTGATACTGGCAACATCTCTATTAGTCATGGCATAAGACGTGGCCAAATCATCTGGAGATTTACTAAGAGGTAGCTGAAGTTTTTCAACTATCCAGGCTAACACGTGAGCCGGTTCAACAACATCAAAACTGCCATCAGGAGTGGAGATGTCTGACTGCCCAGGTGAAGGGAAAGTAGTCTGAGATCGAGTCCGATCCCTCAAATCCCCCGAACGATTATTGCTAAGTACGCCAGACGATTGTTGAACATGTGAGGACGAGTGACACTGATTCCAAGCAGACGTAACGGCACGAAGCATGGTATCTAAATCCGGCGCTGGAGCGGAATCAATAGCAGGATTCCAAGACTCAGCAATAATCTGTGACCGGGGCAAAATAGAAGTGGAAAGGCGTGAAGGTGAACGCTGATCCACTGAAGCGTAACGCTGCCTAGCAGGTGAAACCACCCGTACAGAACGGCGTTGCTGATGTGTACTATCATGGGAAGGCACTGACCGTAAGACGTTACTAGCACTAGGCTGGCTAGAGGGGATATTCTGATTCCCCTGAGGTGAATGAGACCGATTTCTATTATCCCTCTGACGCAAAGACACCAAGCGGTTAGGTGAACCGGATGGAAATGGCGAACCACTTCGACTAGGTGAGACTGAACGACTACGGGAATCAAAACGCTGTGGTGAGTCGAACGGAAACACCTGTTGAGGTGAATTGAGTCGGGAATGTGAAGCGGTTCGTCCTGGTGAACCTATTTGAGTACGTGAAACAGTACGGCCAGAGGAACCCATTCGACTACGTGAATCAGTTCGATCAACTGAACTCATTCGAGGATGTTCTGGTGAGCCGGTTCGGCCGTGTGAGCCGGTTCGGCAGGGTGAGTCGGTTCGGCATGGTGAGCCGGCTCGGCGATGTGAGTCGGTTCGGCAGGGTGAGCCGGTTCGGTAAGGTGAGCCGGTTCGGCTAAGTGAGTCGGCTCGGCTGTGTGAGCCAGCTCGGCGATGTGAGTCGGTTCGGCAAGGTGAGCCGGTTCGGTAAGGTGAGCCGGTTCGGCTATGTGAGTCGGCTCTCGAAAGTGAACGAGACCTAGAACGACTCTTGCCAGCCGTGGAAGAACGCATTCGAACCTTCGCACCAGATGGTGATTCAACTCGTGTGGGTGAATTGTTCCGGTTAGATGAAACCGTGGAATTAGGAGAACGGGTACGTTCCAACCGCGCCGATCCCCGCTTTGACGATGAATGCTTAGAAGTTCTCGAAGTCTGTGATCGTTCCGAAGAAACAGACCTACGAGATAATGTAGATCGCAGGTCTGGCGTAGAAGAAATATCGGTCGTTACCACCCTGGTACGCTCCTGAGAACGTAAACTGGGTGAGGGAACCTCCCCTAAAAGCCGTCTCACGTTCTCAGATAAATAGGAATCTGACGAAGCGTCCATAAAATCTTCGTCAGGCGAGACGGCCGATTGAGAACGGTGAGCAGTGAGGGTGGGGCGATCTAAGCATTGTTTCTTAGCGGGAGATGGACCAGACCCCGCAGAAATAGTCCTAGCCCTATCTGCCAAACGTCTGGCACAAGCACGTTTGTAAGATTTAAACGCCTCATTAGACAGACCTGAACACTTAGGACAGCGTGTGTCCCAGTCACAAGCACCCACACAATCAACACACGATGTGTGAGGGTCCCATGCTGAAAATACTTTATTACAACGGACGCAAAACTTCCGTTTACTGGCCTTAACAGGCTTAACCATTTTGAGCAATTCTCTGACGAAAAATTTTCCACGTCCACTCAGTGGAGCGACAAGAAAGAGAATGAGTATGTGAGGTGATCACGTGGGTGAGGACTGCGCATGCCTCGTGCTGTCATGGACTAGTGAGCACGACTGAGACAGGAAGGCATGCACAGCACGGGGAGAGGGGCAAGGTAGGTCTTGAGCAAAGTTTTAATTCGTTTCCACTCATGGTCGAATGAAGAGAGAGAGGTGCAAGTCGTGAGATAGGATAAGTTTAAAATTCCAAGTCATGATTAAGTTTATCTTAACAGCTCCAGGAAATGTATGTTCCTAACACACTAGTCATCCTTTAAAGATGGGAAATTTGCAATTGCATTTTGTGCAATTTGCGAAAAAAGACGAGAGAACTACATGTTTTTTCTTTATTTTTTGTGCATTAACAAACATAACCAGGAAAATTTGATAAATGACGCTAACCAATTATTTTTGATGATTGATCAGTTGTAATGAACCTATCATCAATTATGAGATTTACACCAATTCCGAACACTAATATAGACTAGCTGGAATGGCAACACTGTACTGATGCACAATGTTGTGACACTATTGGTTATCTTATTTTATATGCATGTTTGTATGCAAGTAGCTAAAACATCACTTGGTCATTGAGATTAAATTTGTGTATTTCATGCAGATGGAGCTCTGAAATCAGCTATATATTCCGTGAAACAGATGAAGGCTTACCTGCCAAGGTAGCATAAAGCACACGGAGGCAAGGGCTATAGCCACACTGTGGGTGTTGTTCGGGGACTTGCTCCTGGAAACAAAACACCATTGCTACTACGACCGCAAAACATACACATTCCATTCTCCTTTAGCATTTAAATCTGGAGGCCCCTGACACTCTTTAGTCTTATGAAAAGGACCCAATGACTTTCACACTTAATTTTAAGTAATGAATAGTGAGAAATACTTTAGTAAACGAGTGAGTAAGGTTTTACACTGCTTTTAACAATATTCCAGAAATATCATGAGGACACCAGAAGTGGGCTTCACACATTGTAACCATGTAGAATCAAACTCAGGTCTTTGGCATGATGAGCGAGCGGTTCAACCACAAGGCCACCCTCACTACCCCAAAAGTACTTTTAACTCCAAGTATATTGGAAACTGAAATACCTTATAGAGTAATGTCGTTTATATTAGTTGAATCTAGAGGATCGTTATCAAGCCATTACGATTCTGACAAACAATAGAGTCAGTGAGCACTCTGTATTCATATGCAGATAAAATAGTCTGTGTAAACTGTGATCCTCTGATTTAGGTTGAAGATCGATTGTGGTCAGTAATCAACCAATGAAAATCAAGTATCCCACAAAGGGAAGCAACTCCACTAGTTACCGGTAACTGCAGTGCCTTGGATGACTGGGCCAAAAATGCCCCCTCAAACCAGTAGCTGCAGTGGCTAACAAACATGAGAAGTACAGGTATACCTACCTCAGTGTAAATGTTACCAGTAGCATCTGAAACACAAGGAAGGGGTAGGCGAAGCTCTCTCGGAGAGGGGGTGTCCACTGTACTCGGGTGGCCTGAAAGTGACAGCTGGTATTAGAGAGTGTGTTTACTGGTACTAAAGTAGTATTGATGACAGAGTCATATACATGTGTATACCACAGATAACAGTGTAGTATATATGTATACCATAGACTAAAGAGTAGTTTACATATGTATAACATAGATGGCAGAGTAGTATACACATGTATAGTAAGTGAGTGCTTGAGTTTAGTTTTATGCTGCTTTTAGCAATATTCCATCAACATCACTGAGGGGGACAGCAGGAATGGGCTGCACACATTGTACCCCTGTGAGCAATCGAACCTTGGTCTTCGGTGTGACGAGCAAACGCTTAACCACTAGGTTATCCCACCGCCGGTACACACGTGTATAACATAGATGGCAGAGTAGTATAACATACCTCCCCATGGTTGAAGAAGTAGCAGGCCACTGTGAGGATACCACCAAACATGCTGTCACTGAAACACACAAACTCATGTCATTACCCATCATGCTAAAATGGTCCAGGGCTCCAGATAAGGGCCGTATCGGCGTATGTACGGATAAAAAATATGCACGATACGGTAGGAAATAATTTAGAAAACATAGCAAATACGCACCACAGCAATGGTGTACGGTCTTAGAATCATTTACAAATGTATTTATCTTGTTTTATTGTTCATTGACCTGTTTACACAAGAATCAATGTTGTGGTGCATACATGAATCGAAACCTATATTGAACAAATAAGGTCCACATGTGGTGTCCAGATATACTCATACCTCACTCACTGGACACCTGGGTGCTTCTTGTCATTTTATACAACACCTAGAAATATTCCAGCAACTTGATGGCTGTATGTAAATGTCTGTGTCCAGACAAACCAGTGACTGACCAAAAAAGCATCGATCATATAATCTTAGGACAAGCATGGGTTGCTGAAGACCAATTCTAACCTGATCCTTGCTGGGTTAGTGTTGTTTAATGGCACTGCAAACAATATTCAAGTAAGATGACCTGTAATACAAACTATTATGGTCAGCCTTTTACATCGTTGTCCTATTTTCGATCAATCTTTATCTTTCGGTTTATAGTCATTATTCTTTCTTGGTAGATTACAACATTTTCGTTTCGGAGTCAGAGGACTACTATGAATGAGTTGTTTCATTGTGTTCACCGGGGTTACGTTCCATTTACCCTCAATTACCTTACCTGTCTTTTATTCCGTTGTCTTGATCGCTTGTGTTACTGGTCCTCGCCATTTTGAGTTGTGACGTCATCACTATTTGTGTTTCTTCGAATGTAACTCTTTTTATGCATAAACTAATATCTTAAGTTGTTTATTTATCGTGTTACGTTTCCTTTGTTCTCTCATACTTGGTTGTTATGATGAACTTGGTTATTATCTATAATACACTCATACTCAATAATTCTAAGTTTTAACTCTCGCGCTGACGGATCGTATCTGTTCATTCCATATGGACCCGGAAGTGACATAAGTCTCGATTGTGACGTTGTTTTTCTAACGATCAGCTGTTAGGGAGAGCGGTTGTAAACATCACAAGATAAGGACGTGAGTTGACTTCAGTCCGAGTAAGTACGATCTGTCAGCGGCAATCAAGCTCGTCTTTGCGCTGACTTTATTATTTCCAATCTCGTATTTAGGTAACAGTTGTGCAAATCCAGTTATGCATTTTAAATATAATAAGTAATTTGTCTAATAACCTTGTTGGGGATAACATCCCTGATCATCACTATCCATGTAAATAAACTTCTTGTCATTGTTTCCAACGTGTGTTATCACTATATTATTATAATGTTATGTGACAGAAGTTAAACTGTGAAAGGTAAGTTAATTATGGAACCCCTAAACCGTCACACAAACCAATCCTGAACTAGACAATACTCGCTGAGAAACATCCACATTATATCCAATTAGTCACCTCACCTGCTATTTAGTCGCATCTGAAGAATGGCATGTGTTGTGAGGGATCAGTTTTGTTTATTTCCAGTTCTACAGTTATCAGTGGCGTACTAGAAACTGTTTCTCCCCTGATTCCATATGGGTATTGAGAACCCCATCTCACCTGAGGTAAGTCCCAAAGAGGAAGAAGATGCCCATCATCATGCCATTGAGAGCGAAAGCTGATTCCACATAGAAGTAAGACGGTTCACCCAGGCCTAGAGCAAGAAGTCACACAGACACAGTTAGAAAGAAAGTTTGTTGCAGTGGCTGTTTTCTTGTCGCAAAATATGAGTTTCTGTGGTAGTGAGCATGGAAACTGATTAATATGAAGTGGAAGAAATGTTCCACGTTAACAATGTATTAATAAAGTGAGTGAGTGAGTGAGTGAGCAAGCCATATGGTAATCGATCATGGCCAGTGGACATTTCAATACAATGCCTCCAGATGTGGTTGTCCTTCAACTTGTCTTCAGCAGAATATATCAGGGTAGAAATATTAATATAGGAAATGGACATTAACATGATCACTAACATATTTCTCTCAACATCAAACATGTGACAATAGTGACAATTGCTTTATGTTCAAAGAGCCCTGGATTGCTGCTCTCATTCACTTTGAGAACAACAATCAGTTATCAGTCAAGTACTGAAAACAGTGAATTACCTCCCCTGCTTGTCTACAGTTTAGTACCAAAGGGTGAGTAACTGAGTGAGTAGGTTTTATGCCGCTTTTAGCAATATTCCAGCAATACCACGGCAGGTGACAACAGAAATGGGCTTCAGACATAGTACCTATGCAGGGAATCGACCCTGGCTTTGGCGTGAACGTTTTTACTACTAGTACTGTACTAGTCTACCCGACCACTCCACCACAGGGTGTAGATACACTCACCTTCACAGCTCTGGACTGGAGTCTTGCCTTCTCCTCGGTTCACTTGCCAACACATCTTGGTTGGACGATTCAGCTGTGCATTCACGTGTTCAAATATACGATAGCCGATACTAAGCACAACCTGTAGGAACGAAAGTAAGTAATGTGACATTGACATTACTTATTTAGAGATGAATTCTTGAATTACCTGCCTTCAGTTTAATGATTTTAAAGTGAGTTATTTTATGCCACTGTTGGCAATATTCCAGGAGTATCAAGACAGAGTACACTGGGCATAAAACATTCTATGAATGGGAAAATCAAACCACTGTCTTCAGGGTGATAAGTGAATGCTTCAACCAGTGAGCTACCCTACCTCTCCAGACCTTTACAGTTAAATATAATCCAGAAAACATCCAGAGTGAACATTTCCATTGAGAAGGCAAATTTGTTTTTAAAGTTCTTAAAAGTTGACCTCAATTCAAGTTGAGCTGTCAATACTCTCTGGAGGATGTATGTGTGGTACAGATTCAAGGTTTCATAAAAAATGTTTACAAATGACAAGCAAGAGCAAATAGATAGACAATGTTTGACAAAATAGTAATGTACTGAACAGTGTATTTATGTTTATTTAGCTGCCCATGCTTCAATTCTAAAAAGATCTAAAAAGAAAGTCTATTTGCTTGATGACATATTTGAGCAATCTGTCACATTCAGACCCCATCTCAATTCACCTATTTGTATCAAAAGTTGAGCTGTGTACTTACCTCTGGGTACAAGTTAAATCTTTTGAGGACGTTGATGGTCTGGGGATACTCTGTGACATTGTCGTACATGATTTCGTTGAGGCCGTCCATGAATGACGGCGCATGGATCAACGTCTTGAAGTATGAGTAATATAAACCCTGAAAATTAACATCAAACCATGTCATACCTTAGACCCGTTTAACTTAACAGTCATATATAAGACAAAATATTATGGATGTCAACTTTTTCTTTATTGTTTACACAACGTTTCAGAGCCCCTTGCCTCTTCTTCAGGTGAATGAATTAGATGTAATGTCACCTGAAGAAGGGGCAAGGATAAGCTCAGAAACGTTGTGTATACAATAAAGAAGAAGTTGACATCCATAATATTTTGTCTTATACTTGAATACAAACTTCTATATGCCTCTCAGGAACCTTAATAGTCACAGCTTACAAATGTCTCAAGTTGACAGCGAAGTGAAGATAACTGCAGCACTATGATTATTCGTTAAAAGAACTATGAACATGATGAAAGCAGAACACTAGAACATGGTAGAAGAGTTTCCTGTTTCAGTCCAGAACTCCATTTGGCAAAAGAAGATAGAAGTAAGATGTGGTAAGATGATAAAAAGGTGACTTGATGCAGTCACAGCTCTGTGAAAACACTGACTGAGTTTGGTTTTACGCCGCTTTTAGCAATATTCCAGCAATATCACGGCGGGGAACACTAGAAATGGGCTTCACTCATTGTACCCATGTGGGGATTCGAACCCGGGTCTTCGTCATGGCGAGCCAACGCTTTAACCACTAGGCTACCCCACCACCCCCTCTGTGAAAACAGAACATTGGAACAAAAACAGAAACACCAGGGTTCGAATACCCCATATAGTAGTGTGCCATGGCACAGTAAATATTGAAATGGCACGGCTGAAATATGTTCTCTGTGCCCTTTTGACACGCCTAATTTTTCTAGACACATAACTCACATTTAGTCATTTAATCCCCAAAACAATTATTTTTTTCCAAACTGAATAATACCATACATATCTGAATACTTTCTGAAAGGCACACCTAAAATATTTGTCTGGTGCCCGAAGGCACACTTTGATAAAAAAATATTTCTATCCCTGAACACAAGTACACTTTCCTGTTTCAGTCAAGAGCTCCATTTGACAAAAGAGCCAAGCATACGACTGTGGTAAGATGATAGAAAGAGTATCTAGGTTATGATCGGTATCATAAAAAGAAATCGTTCATGCTTCAGTCATGCGACTACAGTCAAATGTAACGGTGGCAACTGGTAGAACAATGATCATCTGATGAAAGCAGTTTAGCACACTGTTTTAAAATCTAAACTTAAAATTGCAACTATTATACTTGGAGTATCGAATGCACTAAATTGTGTAACATGTATTGGGACTCATTCCCTGGGAATAATGAGTTTCTTGTTTAACATGCGGTTAACACCACACTTTGCACATTATTGACGACTCTTTATCCACAAGATTCTTTCTGTAACATTGGCAATTTCATATACCATAGCATTGATAAATGAATGAAACATTTTTTAATAAAAGCAGAAATTGTCCAAGAAGATTGTCCTTCTGTCATTTGCCTTACCATCTCGGTCCTGAAGGCCAGTTCCCTCTCCAGTGTGGACAGATGGGAGAAGTGGCGGTCCTTCTCAAACATTGTGGCAATGTGATTCCTACAATGCAAGATAACACATTAATAAAAAAAGTTTCTTATATATTGTCATCATCAAGTCTGTTTCAGATTATGTTTTTATATTATATGCTCAGTGCGGAGAGATAAGCAAAGCCAACATGTCATTAATTATATTCAGTAGTAATTTTTATGTACATTTGAATTTCGATCATCCAGGTCTATATGCATTAGAACTGTGACGATATATCGGAGTATCGATAATTGTGATACTTTATCTGACGATATATATATCGATACTTTTGTTCGTATCGTGATATGTATCGTTGACCTAAAAAATGTTAATGTTCACTAGAAATTGACGGTTATATAAAATTTACACTGTTACTTGCTATCAAAGAGACTTTTTAAATAGTAACTAAAGAGCAAGGTATTCCGAATCGAATGCCAGTATCTTCATATCGCTAAATCCAGGTCTACCACATGCAATGTGCATTAAGAAAAAAGAAACCTAGGTATAAATAAATTAGGGGTTGGGACTAGAGAGAGAAGGCTCCTCAAGAAGCACTAATCCCCGGCCCGATCCTCCAATGACAACACATGCTTGTATGATGTATGCATCACATAGTTACTATCCAGTGTTCACGATTAAGCATGAGAGTCAGTGGGCTCTCGTCATAACCCTCTTCTTCAGGGGTCCCTAGATTCAAATTACACAGGCGCAAATATCAAGGGTCAGTGAATCTCCTTAATCGTGTTGATATAAAAAAACTGCTATCGTTATGGGAAGCTGCGGTGGCTGTGTCACAGTGTGGGTTAGACAGCTGACTTTGAAGGTATGGCAGGGCTCCAGATAATTTTTCAACATCAGGAGTACGTACTCCTTATTTTTGCAATACAGGGCCCCGTTTCACAAAGCTCTCGTAAGCCTAAGATCTCGTAACTTTTCTTGTAGCATTCGTACCTCCTATACTGTAACATAGGAGGTACGACGCTACGAGAAAAGTTACGAGAACTTAGGCTTACGAGAGCTTCATGGAAACGGGCCCTGGAGTACTGGAAAACCCTAAGCAATAACTTTTCAGATATATACATCTGTAAATGATTCGAAGACAGTGCACCATTGCTGTGGTGTTTTCTAACTTCTTTTCTACCGTATCATGCTTATTTTGTATCTGTACATACGCCGATACAGCCCTTTTCTAGAGCCCTGGTGTGGGTTCAAATCCTGTATGCAACTCAACCCAATAAAAGTACTAAAATCTGTACTTTACTGAGAAGTGTAATCCCAAATATAACATGTGGTACATCACTATGGGAGTAAAACAATTTAAGCTTTTCAAGAGGCTGTCTGCAACAAAATGTGAGTCCTTGAATATTTAACTGTTCTTGTCCTAGTAGAATTTCAGAGCCTGTTTTCTTCAGTTGTAGTATAGCGTATCTTGGGACCCTCTATTATCGCGGTAGTAATGTTGTCGCTATGGGGATTATGAACTCCTACTGACATTTGGCATTTTATATATATTTTGGTTGGTTGATGTTTAATCTTCATTTCTATAGCACATGGTACAAGCAAATGACACTATCAAACTTTTACTAAAGACAAGTAATGAATCTATATAGTTTTAATATTAAAAATTATTTAGGAATTTCATTACGATTAGTAATATCATTGTTTTTAACCAAAAACATCTGAAACTTCTATTAATTTGGATACAAGGTAACAATTACGTAACAAAATAATTTAAAATGGGCCATACAATTTGCTGCCGTGTGGAGGGTGAAGTAGCACAATACGTCACTTCCTGTAATAGTTTTAAGACGGAAAATATGCAAATGACCTTGTAGTTGTCACAGGATTATTCTTCACGAAGTAAGATTTGATTTATGCAAAATGCAATGGCGGTTGGGGCATACTAGTTTCAGAATGTTCCAGAAGTTACTGCAAAGGTGAATACTTTAATAATTCTACCATTACACATGACATTCCAATGAAATAAATCACTTTTTCAAGAGCGATGAATTATTTTTACGTAATTTGCATGTGTAAAGAGCCGATGAGGGGCGTGGTGTTTGTGCTGTCCGATGTTTTCATGTGCAGCGATAATAGAAGACCTGTGATAATAGAGAGTCGCGATAATAGAGAGTCGCGATAATAGAGAGTCCCAGTATACCAGGAGTAAGGAATTGTTCTGCTCCTATAGTCCGAGGCCTATTTACCACCACATTTGTACTTTGTTGTCAAAAACCTTAACATGCTTGTACAAAATGAAAAACAAAAAGACATGAACACTAACACTAGTTGAAATCAACACTTGACAGACAGTTTCTACATCAACACTAGTTTCAGCGCAAACAAATCTTAAATAACATTAACATCTCTAAACATGCTAAAACTTGATCGATATACTGGCTTAGTTTATGATTCCATGTGAAGTGCAAATGTAGCATTAACAGATCAATAAAAGATCCACCTGTCAGTTATGATTTGACTATTTACTCAATAATGACAATGTTCCAGAAATGGACTCCTAACCAGCTGGATTTGCCCTGAATTTACTTTTGCTTGTTTGCACTGGAAACAGACATAATTTGTTTTGGTCTTTAAATATTCTAGGTAAATATTTCAGTGTCTGCTGATGTGATGCTACTTTCAGCTAAACCTACAGAAGGTCAAAATACACTCCAATTTCAACAACAAACATGATAAAAGATCTCCATTTCGCACACCTGGTGTGGAATCCATACTATGCTACTCAACTGTCGCTAAGAATGCCAAAACATTTATTATCATGATTATGTTAAGCTACTTATAGAACATCTACATTTTGTAAACTGAAATGAAGATAAACATGATGAAACAGTGCATGGCAACATATGAACCCCCTGAACCTCTCCTTGGCTCTGCCAATGCAAAACATTAACTTCAATCAGGAGTGGAAAAAACCCATTGCCCGACGCCCGAGTCCAGTGTTTTTTCTGTTGGGCAAGCAAATTTGTATATCACACTGTACCGGTGTCCAGTTGACTTTCCAATGTTAATTATGTTGTTTATTTAAAAAATCAACAAGAAAACATCCGGAATAGTGGAAAAATTATCAGGGCAATTGATTTTACATGTGCCACTGTACCGGTGTACACTAGCAATATTAAAGTTATTTCCACCCCTGTCGGGCGGTGGGTAGCCTAGTGGTTAAAGCGCTATTCGGTCATGCTAAAGACCTGATTCGATTCCCCACATGGGCACAATGTGTTAAGCCCATTTCTGGTGTCCCCAGCCGTGATATTGCTGGAATATTGCTAAAAGCGGCGTAAAACTAAACTCAGTCAGTCAGTCCACCCCTGTCAATGTAGCGAGCATGACCACCCAATCTCGTTTGTTGCCTCTTATGAGAAGCATCAATTGCTGAGACCAATTCCAACCATAATCTTCATTCAACGAGTCACAAATTCCATAAGAATTCAGAATATTCACTTAAAATACTGAGTAGTATATTTGAAATGACAGCAAGCAGTGAAAAACGTCAATAGTTGTAAGGATCAATTCATTAAATGTGGACCACATGGGACAATTGAACATTCATCATGGTCACATCTGGGGATCTTGTCCACATCTTGCAACGATAGAATCAATGCAGCAATAAATCACCTGTCTTGTATAAAAAACATCTCACCTTGTACACTGTGAATGAGTTTCACACAGAGACACTCAAGACAGACTAATACAAAAAATACAATCAGGAAAAAATCAATTGAAATATAGTTACAGCAGGTATAGCTAAAGCCAAGCAATTATTTTCTTTTTGTTCAGAGTGCTGCCCAAATATTGCATTTGCAAGAGAACAAAAGCCAAGACCGTATTTCCAACGATTTTCAAAACATTTCTAAGTACATAACAGCTAAGACAAAGGTTTTTCTAAGTTGGTTTTCGATAACTAAATGAAAAGTAGAAAAATAATTTATCAGTAAACATGGCTAAAGCTATTTTTTTAGCCACTATGCCATTATTGGCAATATGCCATATATATATTTTGGGTATTCAATATATTGTTAATGCACAGGGTTGTATCTATTGAACATTTATGAGCCAATAATAACAAATCTTGAAATAAGTTTGTTACCAGTTATGATCTGCACATTATCAAGTGCAGCAGATTTCATATCGATTAATGTCTGCGTGCGTTTGATCGGCAAATAACCATTTGTAAAGAACAGGAGGGCAAACTGAAAAGGGTGTTTGAGTACTAACACACAGTGTTGTAATACCTTTATTACATTTGTCATGAGTATTTGTAAATAAGCAACTTCAAACCAGCTGGGTAATGGTGATTTATTTTGTGTATCTTATGCAAATATGCATCCTATATGGCTGGTTGGTTTGTTATTTAACGCTGCACTCAGCAATATTCCAGCTATAAGGCAGTCTGTAAATAATCAAGACTGGATAAGACAATCCAGTGATCAACAGCATCCTATATGGTGCTGCCTAAGCACTAAAGCAGTATTGCTTTGTTCTCTTGAATGCACTTCTTTACTTCTAAACAACTGTGCATCAAACAAGTAAACTGCAAGACATTAGCTTAAAATGGATAAAGTGAGTGGGTTTAGTTTTACGCTGTTGCAATATTCCAGCAATACTACAGCGGGGGACACCAGAAATGGGCTTCACGTATTGTACCCATGAGGGGAATAGAACCCAGATCTTCGGCATGACAAGGGAATGTTTTAACCACTAGGCTTCCCCATCACCCCTAAAAGGGTTAAAGACAAGACACAACATATTGAAATACTGTTAAATAACCCAAACCCTAAATTACTGTTTCTTTTTGCCTTTGTTCCCAGTACACCCCATGCTTCTTCACACAAACATGATAAATATTTCAAACTGATAAACTGAAAGCTATATATTAAAATCAATCTCACCATATGGTGATGTCAAAGATTAAATAGCTAATGAAATGCCAGCTGTTGTAATACCGGTATGCTGTTTTTGACTTTCTAGATTACAAGGCCTGTGAAGCTTTCTGCTGTAGAAGTAGGTGC